TATTACACGCCCAGGCAGATATCAACAATCAATCCCTCTTTCCCACCGTATCCGATTGTAGTTTCACCGTCCTTCTCAAAATAGCACCTCACTCAGTCATTTCCAAAGTTAGAATCTGAAATGTACACGTCATCTTTGATTAAGAGGCTAATTATCCATCTAGGATTAAACTCCAGCCTAGAAATAGGACGGGGAATCTCCTACATCTCTCTCTATGGATTTAGGGTTCATCTGGCTGGCTGTCTCCCTGAGCCTGGAGGCCAGGGCTTCAGATGTCTTGCTAAGGCAGAGTGGGTGTGTTTTATTTGTCTGGAGTTGGTGCCAACCCTGGGCAAGACCCTAACTCTTCTTCCCTGGTCTAACTTTTGGTCTTCACTCTCTTGGCACCTGATGCTAGCCCCTTCCTCATTTTCACCTCTGCTTCAGACAGCCAGCGTGAGCAGTGTTCTGCCCCGTGGTTTCAGCAAGGTGTCTGATTATGCAAACCTTGCGTTCACTGCTGCTCCCAGCTGCCTGTGGGCTCACTCTGCTGTCTGGTCAAGATTTCTTCTAAAGTAGGAGAGTTCACCCTGCAACCTCTGCCTTGCTGCCTTTTCTTGGACAGTTTTTCCTGCAGCTTCCATTGACAATTCTTGTTTATCCTTCGGGCTCAGTGAATCTGTCACTGACTTTTATGCCTCTGGGTCAGGAGTTCCTCTCCATCCTTGCAGTATCTGCCTAACTCTCCCGGGACAGGGAGGGCTTGTTTCCACTTTTCTCTCCAGCTAGGTAGAGCAGATCTCCATCCCTACCCTGCCCAGGGAATACAGGAGGTGGTGAAGAGCAAGCTGTTGAATGGATGACCATGTAAATGCCTAAATGTTGTAGCTAGTTTCTTTAACTTTTTCTATAAACTTTCCTTTTCCCTTCTGAAGTTTCTTGCTTGTAACACTATAATAAGAGGGCAAGAGGGGATTTTTTTGTTTGTTTCATGGTCCTTACATTGTTCTTCACTTTCCTTTTAGGAAAAAGCCAAAAAGTTAAAAAAAAAAATTCCATCCCTTGTATCTCTGTGCTATGGATAATAACCAACCTAGGAGGAAATGAATCATTTCAGAAACACAGTAAAAATGTAGTCATTCAGTTGACAAAAATCCTGAATTTCTAACACTGCACAAGTGTTCTCAATCCGGCAAGCTGCTTCTTTATAGTGCAAATTGGTTTTGTAAATAAGACCAAAGAGACTGTCTAAAATATTTAAAGCAAATTCTGCACTCCTTAGCACTTCAAGAATACTCATGAATATGTATGTAGGTATACGCTAATTAATTTGTCATTTTTCTCCATTCACTAAAGTAAATGCTGGCCCTAAGAACCTCCAGTGGTGAATCATTTGCACCTGTACCAACACCTATGTGGCACCCTATACTGACACCTCTACGTACAAGCATAGCGACTATCAGTCCCTCTTCTTTGTTTTCAAAGTCCTCCTTGCATAATGAGCCTATCCTTTGGCCAGAGAGAGAAACTGAATCTTGTTTTCTTCTACAATCTCTAACATTAAACCAATTGCAGGCATAAAGTAGACAGTTATTATTGATGGGAGATGATTGTATTTTAGAGGGTTTCCACAATAACTCAGTGGAACAATGTATGTGATAATCATGTGTTAAGTCCGAAACAAATGTAAAGTATGCATATTGCTTGTTGAGGTAAAATTATATTACTTAGACAGTGTTTTTCTAATAGAGTTATGTAAAGCCCAAGCTCATGTAAGCAAGGATGTATTGTATTTTCTGTTAAGGTTCCATACCAGGCACAGAAAGAGAAATGTGATCTTATAAAAGTGGAGAGATGAAGAATGATTATTAGGGGGCTAGCAGTTAGAGTAATGGCTATGTCGCTAGACTCCCACGTGGTCGACTGTGGTTTGAGTCTCGGACCTGGTGGCTTAAACTCACACCAGGCGCATGTGCGTGCGTGCCCAAGATCCTGAGAGGAGAATGGAGGAGAAGGGATTACGGCGTGGCCATCACCCCTGGGGGGGGGTGATTTCTCGCTTTCTGTCTCTCTGTCTCTCTCCGTCTGTCTGGCGAGCGCACGCACCCTATAGCCAAAAAAAATTAAAAAAACTCTCGAAAAAAAAAAAAGAATGATTATTAGAGTCTGGGAAAGATGGGAGTCGGGATGGGAGATGTTGATTAATGAAAACAAAATTATAAATAGGTAAGAGGAACTATGTCTTGTGTTATAAAATGCAGTGGGGAGAGTGTGGTTCACAACAACTTACTGCATATCTTAGAATATCTAAAAAAACAAAAGGATTTTGAATGTTCCTAACAAAATATAATGACAAATGGTCAAGATAATGGATATATTAATTACTCCGATTTAATCATCATGCCTTGTATTCTCGTACTGAAAAAAAAAATCACATCGTGCTTCCCCAACTATGTATGATTATTATGTGTTAATAAAAACAAAAAAATTAGATATGACTTTAACCCAAATAATGTCACAAGCCGTGCGAAGGGGGATTCGGCCTAAAGCAAGCAAACGAGAAGTTGTGCATGCGATGCGTCTCTAACTCGTGAGCGTTTTAAGTTTCTGCTCTTGCTACCAAATGCTGCAAACGTCAGGGAACTCTCTGGAACACAGTTGAGAGTGACGATGAGTGAGTGCTAAATGGACTTGGGCAGAGAACCCGTCACGCAGTTGTAGTAAATTACCTTCTTGGAATTTGTACGTGTCAGTTATATCCATCATGCCATCTCCTCCAATTTGTTTGGTCACAATTAATTTCCCAATGTGAGTGGCATCCACAGCCTCCACCACGTGAGTGCCATCTTTCTTAGCGGTAATGTAGACGAGATCGCTGTTGACCTGCAAACAGGAGCACATTAGTCGTCATCAGAATGTCTCGGTCACCAAAATCTTTATTTTTCCGTGGTAGAGAGATCTCAAGAGCAGGCCTGTTCTTTTCCTCAGCAGCATGGGATTCATAAGGCAAAACTCATTTAAAAAATATTCCAAAAGGGACTCTAGATTAATCATTAACATAGACATCTTTTAATTTTTTTTAAGAGAGATTTTTGCTATAGGGCATGTGTGCTCACCTGAGAGACAGAGAGAGAGACAAAAAAGCAAGAAAACACTCCCCGGGGGAATGGCTACACTATAATCTCTTTTCTTCTATTCTCCTCTTGAAATCTTGGGCACGCACGCACACTAGCCTGGCTTGAGTTTTAAGCCACCAGGTCTGGGACTTGAACCATGGTCAACTACATGGGAGTCTAGCGACATAAACATTATACCATCTGCTAGTCCCTATGCATTTTTTCATAACAGAGGGTAAATGCATGAGAGAGGGGGGAGAGAGAGAAAGGGAAAGAAAGAAAGAGAGAGATGCAGAGAGAAAAAGAGAGAGGGAGGCAGAGAGAAAGCACCCTCCAATGGGATATGGTCATACCACAATCCTGTTGTTTCAATTCCTCCATCTTTTCTATATCTTGGGCACATGTTTTCCAAACCACTAGAATTGGGATTTAAACCACATTCAGGCATGTGAGATCTAGCTTCCTCCACAGAGCACTTAACTGCTAGAGTAAGGAGCTGGCCCTGACCATCAATATTTTAAGTGAAGAATTTTGGGGGCTGGGACTTCAGTTGTCTAAGCAGCAACCATTTCTTTTTCTCCTTTATGGTGCTGGTGAATTTCACCTCCTACGGGAGAGCTGAACACACCATGCTCAATAATTGCTTTTCCAGTCACTTCTTTCAAGTGAGCAGTGGCTGTGTGACCTATTTCTAGAAAGAAGAGCAAGTCTACTAGATGCTTCTGGGAGAGGTAATTCTCTTTTACAAAAAGGGGAAGGTATATAAGAGAGGCTGTCCTTCCCTTTCTTTGTTCAGGGGTTTTCATGAGAAATGAAGGTAGAGAATTGAGATGTGAGAGGCATTTGAGGTTACTAATCAGACCAACCTCTGGATCACCTACTGCGGGGTTTCTTATATAAGAAAAATAAGCCCCTCACGATCTCAGTCACATTAATTCTCTTACTTGCAGCCAAAAGCACCCTAATTGAAAAATAACACTAGAGTGTCCAAGAGGAACTCAGGCAATTTTCTAGTGGTTCAACAACTAAAATGTATTATCTGTGGGACTTGGAAATAGTGTGTGGGAGGGCCATGTTGGCTGGCTCCCGAAGCTGTTCCAAGGTTCTGCTTTCCCATGCTATTACAGACAATATCTAATCTGTGCCTGTGAGCTGAGTCCTTCAGAGTCCTTTACTACGTTTTCTGACAATCACTTTCTTGGGGGTCCAGATGTTAGCCTAGAGGCAGGGAGAAAACATGAAATGCATGGCTGACAGTCATTGATGGGTTTACTAAATGTTTTTCGAGCCCCTCTCAAGCCTCAGTTTCCCCACATTTAAGTAGTATAATAACAACTCCTTCATCAGAGGATAATTGGCAGAATTTACTGAAATGAATGCATTGAAATGACTTACAATCCCTGGCAGAGACCTAACACTCAATGCATGTCAATAATAATACATGAATGAATAATACCTCTTGCTATTGCTCAAGGTACCAGAACCTTAATGATGAACAGAATAAATTTGGTCACTGCCATTAAAGGGTTTGTGCTCTAGTAAAGGGGAGTCTGTGGGCCAAAATCACCTGGGGGAATTTTTAGAAGAATAGATTCCTGATGAAGGAGATCTTGGGTGGATCCTAAATCTGTTACATTTTTTAAAAAGGTCTCAGATAATTCTATTGGGTAATTGGAAAGCCCGAGAGCCCATGAAATACAGTTCAACAAGTATCCTAAGAGGGTAAGGCAGGATACTCTAGGAGCACAGAAGGCCATGGAAGGGGGGTTGGCTAGGAAGTAAGGGCCACATAGGTTGGAACCTGGAAGATGCATTGACATTAGTGGGCTAAGCAATGGAGGGACAGTAAGCTGTGGTAGTCAGGGGGACCAGCAGGTGTAATAGCTCTAAGAAAGGTATTTGAGAGAGGCACTGGAATAGCTGCAAAGCATCTGGATTCTGAACTTGAGTAGGAAGTTGTAGAAGGTCACATTAACCGCTCTGAACTTCAGTTCCTGCTTCTATAAAAGAAAAATAATTATACCTGTTCTGCCAATTTCACAGGGACATTTTAGATGAGAATGAGATGAGATCTAGGTGAACGTGACTTGTAAATTTCAAAATTGAGTAAAAAGGTAATGATCATCATTAGGTAAGGGAGACATTGGCTATGTCCCTAACTTTTAAATATGAGATTTAAATAAGTAACTTTACTTTCTTGCTCTACGTTCTGAATTCACACAAAATTTGATTTCTGCTAAGGACAAAGAAGTCAACATTTTTTGGAATGCCCACAATGTTTTGAGAACATCTTATTAACTATTTAGTTTAACCTCACAGCAGCAACCCTGTGAGGTATGTAACCCCATTTTACTGAGGAGGGTCAAGTCGGTGGTCTCATGGCTAGGATCTGGTGAGAACTGTAAATCCCAGGTAGCCCAGAGCGCATCCCCTTGACCTTCAGAGCATATTGTCCCTCCCACATTGCCTTGCAGGACCATGAGGATGGGGGCTTGAGAGCTCATATCTCTAAGGAGTGATGGCCCCACTGCTCAGCAGAGTAGCCAGAACATGGTAATACAAGTCACATGATATGAAAGGCTGAAGAGTAGAATCAGAAATCAGGAAGGAAAAGTCACCTAAGGAATAAGAACGGGGGGAAAAAACTTAAAATGAGCTGCCTGAGAATTTCTGCATCCCTCTGGAGGAGGCCAAGAAGAAACAAACAGCTACCTCCTCCACTTGCAAATTATAGCAACCATGATGATAAATATCCTCTTAATAACAACCCTTACAACAGCTTATGATTTTCCAAGGAAACAAGGCTAAATACAAAAATGGCTAAATCCTGGGCTCCCCTTGAGTATAACTTAAGAAATTTATACAGGCTAAAATCTCAGGCCAGCCCAACAACACCGTCTCTGTGGAGAGAGGAGGAGAAACACAGCCGTATAAGATGAATCTGTCTATGTATTTTGGGGGTGGGCAGTGGAGGAAAAGAATTCTTTCCAAGAAATATCATCATGCTTTCTTTTAAATTTTAGCCTCTAGCATGGTGGTGCTCCATTCTGGTTGCAGAGGAGAATCCCTGAACGTTTTCAAAGTCTTAGTGAGGCACCAGCAGATGATGTAGTGGCTACGTCTTTGGACTCTCATGTCATCGACCACAGTTTGAGTCCCAGACCCGGCAGCTTCAAACTTACACCAGGTATGTGAGAATGAATGCTCAAGATACTAATAGGAGAATGGAGAAGAAGGGATTGTGGCACAATCATCTCTCTGGGGGGTGACTTCTCACTTTCTGTCTCTCTGTGTCTCCAGTGAGTGCATGTGCCCTATAGCAAAAATCTCTCTTAAAAAGAAAAAAAAAAGTCCTAGTGATAAGTTCCAACCAAGATCAACTGGCACTCCATGGTAGAATAGTAGTTAAGTGCAAGATATTCTTCAAGAAATATTGGCCTTAGGCTGTGTGAGTTTGAGTGAATTCCTGACTGTCTCTGAGCCTGGGTTTAATAATTCTTTCCATGCAGGGCTGGTAGGTAGATAAGTAGTACTTGTGAAAGTCCCACGTTTAAGGCTAATTTCTTCTTCTTTTTGTCAATGGAGGTGAGTGTCAGCCATCATCTATTTTTAACCCTCCACTTGAAGGGACTAGGGTCACACTGAGTCTGGCTTCAGCATGGAGCATGGTGCTTCTTCACAACATGGCACCGCGGCCTCCAAGTCAGACTCGGTCACTTCTTACACAGCCTTTCCCATCAGTCAGGGCCCCATGTGGACAGCAAGCTAAAGGATCCCTCTCTGCACACATCTGCTTGTGTCCTCAGGATGTAAGCATACATCCACAGCTGGTCAAAGCTCCTCTCGTATGGGAGATGGAGAGGCTCTCTTGTTTTCAGGACCCAGGACAGCGTTTTCGCTGGTTTGTTTCTCAACTCCTAAGCAGAGATAACCTCATCTCTGTGCTCCGTAGAGAAAGTGTCACTTCTTCAAAGGCACATGGAGGCTGTGGGTGTCTGTCTGGGCGAGGAGGCCTTCCTGGCATAAGTACCATAAGTCCACTCTGTCCTTGCCATTTCTTCAGCCAGCCCCTCTGTGTGAGTTCTCTGTTTCTTCCTGCAGGCACCTTGCCTCCTTTCACAACTGCCAGTGCTTGGTGACACAACGTGGGCCTCGTTTCTGAGATGCTGTTCTTAGCAGCATGCTCTGTACCAGTTCTTGCGTGCATGTTTGATTGAGTCATTGATGGATTCATTCAATATTTATTAATGGATACTCTAGGCCAGACCTTACTCTCAGCAATGAGACGACAACAGACTCTGTCATGGAAGGTCTAGAAAGGAGAGAAATCACAAACAGGAAGGCAGAATAGGAGGATTAAAAACAAGAGGGCAGATAGTGATATTTTAGGTGGAGGCTGGGGTGAGCAAAGGCCTATTTGAAGAAGTAACAGGAGCAGAAAGTTGAAGACAGTGGGGAATAGAGCATGCAAAGTGCTCTTCTCCCGTAGAGAAAGACAGCAGTGGGGAAGCCTTCTTGACAAAAGAAATAGCATGTGTGAAAACTGAGCAAGAGTATATCTGGGCCACCCAAGTTGAGGACAGAAAAGGCAGATGAGCTTTCAGAACTGGAGAACGAGCCACAGTGACGAGGGGAGGCTGAGGAAGGGGTTAGAGAAATAGGCTTTGAGCCCTGGCAGAAATCTAGAAATGTAAGGCCAGACAGTGCCACGGCAGTCATGGAACTAGGCCCACAGGAGAAATCCTGGTCTCTCATTCTGGGGCCTTG